ATTGGTGATAAGGTTTAGGAAAATACAGCAGTGGGGATGAGCGTCTCTGTCTAGGCTCGAAGGAGAGATAACCAGAGGAACCAGAGCATCAATGAAAGAATTTCATCAAAAGGTCGAACTTGGTTGTGGAGGAGGGGTTGAATTCGTTCGATGGGGGTCGTATCAAGGAAGTTCCCCGAGCCGCGAGCAAGATTTCTTCGGTTGTTAGCTTTTCCCGATTTCCCCATTTCATACCTTCCCCTCTCTACCCCAAAGTCCTAAACAACTGCGATTTTCGATTGCTGAAATTAGTAGTTGACCAGTCGGATCGCCCGCCGAAGGCGGGCGATCCTCCTTCCGCGTGTGAAGTGGGTATTTGCCCCAGAGTTTTTTTGTCCAGTGTTTGTCAAAAAAATTTTTGAGAAATTACAGAACTTTGCCGTTTCATTCGTTGTATATACCCCCCTAGAAAGCAGTCGTCGAAATTTTCTATAGGATACCCTATTTAGTGTTGAGGACTTGCAGAGTGAACTATCGCAGGGGACCCTAACCGTTTGATACACAATATACTGCTTACGGTCTCTCTCTCAATTCATCTACCTACCCGCTGCTCAGTTTCACCCATGTTCCCCGTTTCCTGGTCTGCTCCGGATGCATTTTGAGGATTTTTATCCTCGGCTTTGTCCACTTCGGCCAACGCCCCGCCCATTGTGGGCGAGCTTAGGTGAGCCTTGTGGCGCTCGTGCAAATCCTGGTCCTTGCCACGTCTCATTCCAACCGCACAATTCTCGTACGCCTTAAAGTAAATTTCCACGAAAACCCTAATTTCCACGCGGTTCAACTAGGCATACACCACACACACTTCAGGTTTAATTATAGAGAGATATGTAGTTGCATTGGCTGACGATCGCCCCGCCCCCCTATACTCGGCCGACTGTGGGGAAACCAAGCGTAGGGATAGCTTCCCTGAAAACACCAGGGCATTGTAGGAGGGAGAAAGGGGGTTTCGTACCTGAGGAAGAAAGTGGGGGTCGTCCTGACACCGCCAAATTCTTCTATATTGCACCCTCCAGGAGCTCCAGAATGTGTGAACTAATTTCAAGTACAGTAATTCCACTCACGGTCAGAAGAATAATCCCGAATTTGCTCAAGCAATCCTTCAAGCCTTCCCTCAAATTTTTATCGCCAATTTTTGTATTCTTCTGTTTCAAGGCGAATTATTTATAAACTGATAGGTAGGCGTTTTTCGAGATACTACAGAGGAGTCGAACTCACCTAGGGGATGGGGGTGGGGGTCGTGTTGAAAGAAATGTTTGTTTTCTTCACCGCCAGGGGGTAATCTGATTGGAAAGCGTCCGATCTGGCTTACTGCCACAGTATTCACCGAAAAAAGAGATTTTATCAATACTTTTATTAATTATCGTATAGTTCACAATAAATAAAATATAATACGCATTTCACAATCATTATAGTTGATATATAGTAAATGATACAACGAATACGTTTTGAAACCAACAAATCAAGACGCTAATGTATGTAGTTGAGGGACCACTCCACCCTTATCTTTTCCCCATGAAGGTTCAAGCTGAGAGCGCAGACGACTAGAGTAGCCGAGGGATACTCCCGAAGTAGACGGATCTGCAGAAGGCCTAAACCCTGTTCAGAGAAAGGAATGCGAAGGCACTGGCGAGTGGGCCACCCCCCCCCCTCCCAACTTCATTAGCGCCCCAATTCATTCTGGATACTTAACAAGCCTTAAACAGTATTCACGATGAGAACACCATATAATTCACGCAAAACATCACATAACATGATATTACGAATTACGGCGCAGATGTAGCACAGGTCTGCATAGGTACCTATTAAGAGTAGGGAGATGACGTGTCAAAACACGTCATTAACTTGATCTGTGACGTCGGCGACACGTCATCTACCTTTTGACCTACTGGCCCGCTTACCTGTGCCCCATTAGCACCCACATTACTATTGGATCCCATGCACGAAAACAACGGAACTCGTCCAGCGTTGTGGATAGCTCCGCCCATTAGGCGTGTTACGACGTTTGGAATCCCGCAGCCATGAAAATGCAACTTCATCAAAGGCAATGGACACGACTGCTGGAGGTGGACGGTTGTTGCCAGCGTCACTGGTAGAAGGGCTGCTAGCCACGCCCACCGAGCACTTCCACCAATGGCGTCGGCGACAACTGCCCACCTCTAGCAATCATGACCAGTGCTTTTAAGTAAATGCGTTCTGAGCATGAACATTCTTTTCAGTTATGAAAATAGAACAACGAGATCGATGACTAGCGAGGTAAGGCACGGCTATGTGGATGGGTTATGGTATTCCCGTAAGTTAGGCGGTTGTACCGTGGGAACTTCTCGCTATATTTCAGACGAGTGTCGAAAAGTTCTTGTAGTTGTCAACGGCGATCGTTGACGATGTGGATCTTGTCCAGAAGAGAATCGTCTTTAGCGTCGTCATCGCACAGAACAATATCGCCGACACGCCCAGAGACAATCCCACTCCTTTGGAGATTGTTCCTCGGGCTGGATTCAGGACACACAGCAGCAAAATGGCTGAAACATGCAGAATTACCCATCAGGCTGTTAATCTGTGTAAATAGTCGAGGCTACTCGCTAAGGCAGCGTTCAGACTTCGCGATATCGCGAGTCGACGCGCTATGTCGCGCTGCCACTGCAGTGCTAAAGACGAGAACGCAGCCGTGGTAGTGTAGTGATTGGCCCTGTTGCTAGTATTTTAAGAGAGCATGGAAAAACAGGAGGCTACTCGCTGGAACAAGAGTGTGGTGCACTCCTATTCTTCCATACACTTCCACTACACTAGCGGCCGACGCCAATCGTTACCCTTCACTGACTGCTCTCTTAGCACGGAGCGCTGTTGCAATGGTGGCGTGACGCAGCGCGTCGACGCGCGTCATCGCGAAGTCTGAACGCTGCTCGGGAAGCGTGAAAGTCAAGTGGCAGCATCTTGACTATGGTAATGATGACGTAATGGTAATATGCATCTATCATAATATTACCATTAAATCGCTGGAGCACAGTAAATCCTTACTGTGCTCCAGCAGCAACAAATTGCTGCGTTTTGTGCCTCAAGAGGGCCTCTGCAGTGAGGCTCACCCATGTCATTCTGACGCAGTAGGGCAATATCATACTGTCTAGCGGCAAGGGTAAAGCTAGAAAGAGGCAAGTTCTGACGTTTACAAAGCCGAGTTAGTACATGTCACGTCATCTATGTGAGAGGGTGCAGACGAGTAGACATGACGTGGTTTGCCGCTGGATAGTGGAGCAGATAGCTCACGAATTGCAATATAGAGACATATACTGGAGCAAATGGTTAACTGCATACCTGCCATCATGAACATCACAGAAAGAAACCAAAACGAATAGATCACCAGCCGCATGAAACTCGTACGATCCAAATACTCCAAGGGGCTGAAAGGAATGTGATTGGAAGAGCAACTTTGGCAAAAGCCTAGAAAAAAGTGCACCAGGAACAACGGCGAATCTGACCTCGCCCAAACGATTGTCGTGGAGTGCGTTTTCAAGGTCCTTGTGAAGAGGTTTTCCACGTGTCCACATGTTACATTTTACTAAAGAAGGGAGGGGAGGGTTGTATAGTTTTGTAGGGGCGGCTGAAGGACTTCCCGTGCAAAACCACAAGTTCCATAATGAGATGAGCATTTTTGCCTGAACCTGAAGGGGGAAGGAGTTCCGGGATGGGTTAACCCACTGGAAGTACGGCAACTCTACTGGGATAATGCTAAGCCCAATTTTTTACCTAAAAGTCCCTTTGAATGCCCCCTCCAGGACTACTGGCGTCAAGAATAGCTGTAATAAATTAGGAATGGAACGTTGAACGGTCGAACTCACATGCTTGGACTGTGTGATTTGTAGAGTTTCAGCACGAAGAAAAGCTGTAAGAGCGAGATGAAAAAAGCGGATGTCGAACATATCAGTACCGCGACATCCAGAGTTTCACCAATTTCGCTGGCCGTATACTGAAACGAGTCAAATGAAAGTACAGCAGCAACTTTGTGGGATCATCTTCAGAATACTCCTATGGCTAAGGAGTGATTCGCAGAGACACCACGGTGGCTAGTGCACGTTCTGCCATTTGAGTAAACTTTGCAAAGTAGGAACCCTCTCGGAATTTTCTTCCTCGGTACCCACACCAATCATATCTACCTTCTTCCTAGGTACCCCCAACTTCCCACCAGTTTTGCTGAGTTTTCTTCATTCCGAAAGTTCCTCCTCTACCCCGT